CCCCCCCTCCCAGCAGGGAGTCATGGAGGAGAAACGACCTCATGACAGAATTCTTTATTTCCACTGATGAAGAAAACGAGTTTTCATTTCCCGAAGCTTCTGTAACTTGAGTTTGTCGACATGAAGCACGATGTGACTCCTCGTTACGTCGTGAAAACACCAGCGACAGACGTCAGGAGGAATTCTCTGACTCCACCTCGCTCTCGTCTGTTTTATTTTTGTGGGAGTTCACGTTTAAATTAATGTCTCTCATGTTTTTATTCTTTAATTCTCTTGTTTTGATTTGTTTGTGGGAAACCTGATAACTGAGTCATCGTTAAGATAAATGAATATATTATTACTGTCATTGTTTATTTTTTACTCTTTGTAATTTTGTGGATAAATGTCTGAAGGTTTTATTGACTCATCAGTTTTGGATCCAAACATCTGATCTCATCTATTTCACTGAGTGAAGCGCCACCTGCTGGTAACTCGTGGTAATGCTCAATGAATCTGCTGCTTGTTCCAACATCTTTTTAAAACTAAAGTGAAAACTTTATTTTCTGTTCGTAATTTACCATCTAGATTTTCTTCCTTTCATTTATTTCCCTTTTGTGTATTTTCCTGTTTCTATTGACTGATTATTGTTTTATATTGGACCTTAAATTCTGTAAATAAATAAATAAATATCTCAAACAGATCTCAGCAGATAGTTACCTGATTTAAGATGTTTACTTCAGGACAAACTCCGCCCCACACACACACACACACACACACACACACACACACACACACACAGACAAAGGTGTAAACAAACAGCTTGTCGTTGAAGTTACGTTGATCTCATGGTTACACACTGTCACACAGTTTCACACACACACTCACGCACACACACACACACACCGTCAGAAGTCAGTGGAGCTCCAAATGTTCATCAGCTGTTCGCATCGTGTCCGGATGTTTGCGCCACTTCCGGCTTTAATTGATCAGCCAATCAGCTGCTGCCGTTCATCCACAGGTTGGGGGGGGGGGGGGGGGGGGTCATAAACCTCATGAGGATATTAAAGTATGTTGAGGTTCACTCACATTTATCTACTGAAGCAAACTCACATGAGGATGTTGAACTTTCTCTGGAGCAGCAAGATGAAATAAATAAATCAATAAATAAATGTGTGTTAGTGAACTGCTGTTGTTTATTTGGGTTGTTGTTGTTTATTTGTGTTGTTGTTGTTTATTTGTGTTGTTGTTGTTTATTTTGTTCTTCCTCCTTCAGCTTCTGTTAAAAACCCAAACCACAGTGTCGCTTCACGTTTCAAACACTAGGTGGCGGACTTCACCTTCTCACCAGCTGAGCGGCCGAAGTAACGAAGTACATCTACTCAAGCACAGTACTGGATTTACTTTATACTCAAACATTTCACTCAGAGCATCACGTGCATGTTCAGTAACTAGATGTTATATAAATGTTATTTAACTGTATATTAACTATTTTAAATCAACTCTACTTTTACCAACAACATGAAAATATCAATAACAAAGGTTTCAGAATATATCATAATAAAGACTGATGATCGTTCTGCTGAATCAAAC